CTCTACGAGGGGCTGTGGATGTCGTGCGCCATGCAGAGCACAGGGCAGATCCAGTGCAAGGTGTACGACTCGCTGCTCAAGCTGGAGGGTAAGTCGCATCTGGTCGGTGAGGGTGTTGGGAGTGCCCGTCCCGTCGGAGCTGAGGTTGCGGGTGTCCGTCCCGTTGGGGCCATCCCCTCCGGTCGGGGCTGAGGTTACCAGTCCCGTAGGGTCATTGCTCCCACGCCGGTGCTGGTCGCGTCGGGGTTCGGGATGAAGTACTGGGAGTGGGGGTGCCGGTCCTGTCGTGTGAATCCCCCCACCCTCCGCCTGTCCCGCCGGGGGTATTGGTGTTGTCGGGTCTCGAGGTCTCTGCCCCGTTGGAACGTCGCTGCCTGTCCCTTCAGACAGGTGTAGGGCTCGGGACACCCACCTTTTTGGTAGCTCCCCATCCCGGCGGGGCTCTTGGGGTTCCCCCGGTGGTTGTCCCGCCGGGGCTGAGGGTGACTCCCCGGTGACTGCCCTTCGGGACAGCCGGGGCTCCGCGGCGGCTGCTGAAGCGGATCCCTCGGCGGGGCCAGGGCCGGGGCAGGGGGGCGGGAGAGTTTTTTTTACCCGCGGCAGGGAGCCGGAGTCTCTCCGCAGCCCCCTGCCCGCACACCAGCTGCCTGTCCCCCCATAAAAACGTCCTGGGACGGGAAGGGTCAGACCCTCCCCGTGTGTTCGGGAAAGCGCCGCTTGGCTGTGGACAGGGACTGCCTTCCTGCGGGCAGGGCTCAGCCGGGAGCGCAGCTCATCGGCGGGGCTGAAGTGGTCGCGGGTCCTTCCCTTGAAAGTTGCTTTTTCGGTCTCTTGTTCTCTGGGAAGGTCGTTGCTATTCCCGCGGGATTTCTAAGCAAAGGGCTGGCAGGTGAGCTGGACTCCAGCCAGGCAGCGCTGCCTGTAGTTTTTCAGGCAGACCTGTATATCGAGGTAACCGCTCGCACCCCGAGCTTCGCGGGCACATGCAGGAACTGCAGCCTGGTCTGCTGGGGTGGTCCTCGGGATGGTCACCCCGGGCCGGAGCCCCTCTCAGGGCCGTTTCTAGGGGGCTGGAGCATATAACTAACGCCCAAAGGGGTTAAAAAATAAGTTTTCATTTATCCGTATCTCTCCCCCTCATCCTGAGTCCAGTAGTGTCCTGGAACACCTTAATCCTTTTCCCTCCCTAATTAATAAAATAATAATTACCACCTTGGTCACCTTCTCTTTCCCAAAGGAATGAGCAGGCAGTTTCCCATAAACCGAAGACCATGGGGAGTATTCCCGAGTTAGATTGTCACCTGTGTGTCACTCGGTGAAGCCGGACACCCCGGTCCCCACCTTCCTTGCCAGCCCACATCACCCGCTCCTGCTCCCTTTCTCCCACCACCCGTGGGCCCTACACCTGGCAGTGGTGCACCCACTTAGCCCAACCTGATTATCCCCAACCCCGCACCCTCTTAGCGCTAAGCACTCGGTCCGGGGTGCCTTCAGTAGTAATTGTGTATAAGCTCAGCTCCAAGCTTCTTATCTCGCACCGGGGGTGGGGGGCGAAGGTGCCAGCGGGGCTGAGGAATCTCCAGCCGCCCCCCAGATGGGTTGCGCAAGGTAAACGTGCCTCGGGGGCTGTGTGACTGCAGCCCATTGTGCTGTAAATGGAACCTGCTTGCAGAATCAGATGCGGAGCCTGGCTTCTACAGGCTCCTCAAAACCTGCCCCAGGACTTCCAGACCTGCCCTATTCATGGTTGAGCACCAGCTGCTCCCCTCACCTTTGTCCAGCAAACAATAAGGGTTATTCTCTTCCTGGGCCCCGAGGGAGGGAGGGAGGTGTGAGGGGTCGGGGATGAGGCGGAGCTATTAGCGACCTTTTGTGCTTCTACAGAGCCCCTGGCCCTGAAGGGCACACTTGTTTGAAAATTCCCAGGAACCCCACGAAATATGGAAATCGCAGGGGATGTTTTCTTCACTGTAGCAGGAGCTGGCTAAAGGACTGCTTGTTCTTTCCATATCCCAGCTGGCTCAGGTTGTGCCTTTCCTGCTTGAAAACGGATGATGCCTAGGGATATTCACCTTCTCTGTTTTCCCTGCCTTGTCTCCTTCAAGGTCTTAAAGCCACGTAGGCTTGGGCAGGGACCAGCAGTGCTGGTTTGGGTGAAGGTATGGAGAGAGAGAGAAAAAAAAAAAACCAACACTAAACACACCCAATATTTACACCCAATTCAACAGCGTCACCCTGGGACAGGTGCAGGAAAAGCTCCCTCGCTGCATTCATTTGTCATCGTGAAGGTGGCAAAGTTCTGTGGGTAGAAAAATTTTTCTTGCCTGGCCACACTGTCCTGACAGAGGCTCACATACCCCGAATGCTCTGAGCCACATGTCACAGCCTCATGTGCTGATGGCAGAGGCTCAGATCTGTAATTATTTTTGTCCCTGTAGGAAGGACTGAGCCTCCTCACACCTGCAGTAATTCATGGTTGTGGGAATGCTGGAAAGCTTTGACAGCAAGCTTTTGCATCTCTGGTAACTACTGCCATTCCCATTCCTCTAGATATGCCAGTGCTTGGCTGCTTGGGCTGATGCAGCATGTCGGAGATGGGGTTGGCACAAGCTGGTTGGCACCGTTAGCCAACGGAGGGGTGTCCAGCTTCCTGTGTGGCCATGCTGCTGGAGTCCACCCATGCTGGCACTTCTCCCGCAGCTGCGTTCAGCTGAGGGCTTATGTCAGTGTCCCTATTCAGGCAATAGAAAGGCTGCGTTTTGCTGGCTTACGTGAAAAGCGGTGCGTGGCCACATGCAGACATAGAAGCAACAAAAGCCACCCTTGCAACAAGGCTTTGTTGCACAGCCTCAGCATTGTTCTTGTAGCCCTCCAGCATCGTCCATGGAGCTTAGCTGAGCTTTGTGCCACTCTGGGGTCTCAGACCTGAGGGAAAAAGTTTCCTGGTACCGGTCTCTGGAAGTTTTCAGCCCCACCTAACCACACTCTCCTGTTGTGAGAGGTTGTTCTGGGTCCTGTCTAGGCTGTTCTGGCTGAAGATACTGATCACCCTGTTTGGTTTTGCTGGGAGAGGCTCTGTGCTTGAGACAAGCTGAGACTCATCTACCACTTCATCACCAAACCTAGTACATCCACAATGAGCCTTTGTGCCCCAGCCCAGAAAATGAACAAGAGGTTTGGATGCCCTCTGGGTCAAACAGCATCACTGAAATGTGAAATCTTCCTTCCTACATCTTTACTGGCTGAGCCTCTTTCAGGAGCTGGGGAAGAGGATAGGTGGGGGAAAGGAAAAGGGTTCATGCTCAGGTTATTGTTTCTCTCTTTGTGATGGTGGAGGAGTTGGGAGGGGGTGGCCCAGGGAAGGACAAAGCTGTAGCACGAGGGACAGATGTGTCCAAATAGTTTGTCACCTCTCCATCTTCTAGATCTTGAGTAAGCAGGTAGAACCTGCTGGTATCTGCTTTCATGTGGGTTAAGAGTTGATCTACTCCCATGTTTCTCAATCCCTGTTCCTTCCTCATGAAAAATTGCGATCGAGTGATAAAACAGTCTCACTTGTGCTACTCTTCAGAAGGTAGAGGGTTACTTGGAATGCCACCGAGGCTGTTTTCTGTGCAGTGCCCTGTTATGTCTGCAAGAGGGGATGGGAGTCTGTTGCAATACACTGGCTTTATTGCTCTACAAGCAGCTTCTAAGCAGCTTTAGTACCTGGTGTTACTATGTGTTACTAAATCCCTTGGTAAGGGAATTTCCAGGCCTCGTGGGAAAACAGGCTGCCCAGGTCTCCTCTGACCAGGAATCTGGAAATGGTGATACTGTGTTGCCTGTCTTACCATCAAGATTTCTCTGCTGTTTGACTGCAGGAGGGCATTGAACCTTTATTTACTTTGGGGTAGGCAGAGTACAGCGCCACTGTCACCTACTGAACTTGCATCTTACACTGGACATGCAGTGAGGACTTCCTAGTACTCCCATTTTTGGCAAGAAACATGACCCTGTCCTGCCCAGATTCCTCTGTACAGTCTTCTAGACTTGTGGGGAGATGCTTTGAAGAAGGAGTCCAGGATTTGGTGATGGCTGTCAAGAGTCTAGCGTTTGAAAGCCTCCAAGCCCTTAGCAGGTTTCTGGGTCCAGTCAGAACGACTGTGAAGTGTGAGAGATGTTTGCTGCACGAAAGCAACTTCCCTGTGCTGGCAGGGTAGGACAGCATGATCTCTGATCCCACTCCTTCCAGGGTCCAGTCAGAACGACTGTGAAGTGTGAGAGATGTTTGCTGCACGAAAGCAACTTCCCTGTGCTTCCCTGTGCTCCCCTTCCAGGAGATTCAGCTTTCATGAAATCCCAGTGGGAAGGCTTTGAAGGCTGCTGGTTTCTCTTGGAGATGGCTGGGGTAATGTTTCCTATGCTACAGGGCTGCTTGTAACTCCTGGGGAACTTCCCTTGCAGATATTAGAGGGAGCTGCACAGCATCTGTTTCACCTGTATTCTGTCACCACTTCCTTGCATGGAGACCCATGGGAAGGGAAAGAAGTCCATAGTTTAAATACAAACAAGGCAGTCAATGAGCATCCCTATCAGAAAATCTGCACAGAGAGCTATTACAGCAACTTTGCATTACAAAAATCCCATGGCACTTTCCCAACAGCTTTTCTATAATGTAGATGACATAAACAGAATAAATAAGGGAATGTGATGACAGAAAAATAACCTCAAACATACGCTGGTGGAGTCCTTTTTTTTTTTTTTTTTTAATAACTACATAGTTGCCAGCAGTTACTTTTGTGTCAGGTAATGGTGGTTGGAAGGAAAAAGATATGTAAGATTCAGATAAACTCAGCAGGTAGTTTGTGTCCAAAGCCGCTAACAGTAAGTCAGAACTGTTTGTTAGCATGTTTTTTAAGAAGTATGTTTTGTCATGTGAAGTGGGTGTGAGCTGCTGTGCCATTTGTTTATGGATTTACACAGTATTTTATGGCTTGCAGAGTTGACATTTGTTATTAACCATCTGCAGTTTTCAGCCTCTGTTCTTCAGTACTTGCTTTCTTGCTGTAGGCTTTTCAGGCCAGGTCTCATTACTAACCAGCAATAAAGAGGCTTGGCTTCTGAGTCAATAGTGGTTTCTATTGACAAAATACTGTTGCTATTGGACAGCTGTTGTTGGGTGCTAGGACTATTTTTCCCCCAGAGGCTCCTGAGCCTGCCTGGGCTTTACAACAGCCGTGGTGTATTGCGTGGGAGTCTGCAGGTGCTGTGGTACCTGCTCTTGTTGGGGAGACAGTTGAGTGTGGGAGAAATAGGTCTAATATTATAGAAGTTGTAAAGTTAAATTGCTGTAGAGTACTTCTTGTCAGTAGCCAGTCCTGTTTAGCAGGTTAAGATACTATAGTTCTACTGCTTGGGATTTTTAAAGCACATGGAAAGACCCACGTGAACAACAGAATTAATATTAAACTAGCTTTCTCATTCTCTGGATGTGCAGCTTCCATTGACAGCATGGCTGTTAGTGTGTACATAATAACTAGTAGCTTGTATGATGATTAACTGCAGTCAGTGTGCTGCACACATTGCACAAGTGGAATGAAGACAAAAGCACAGTGTCCCAGTGTGTGCTAGGAGCACAGGGCAGCCTGGCCAGGCGGAGGGGAGGATGTTTGACAATACAGTGTTGTTGCATTAAAACCTCTTGGGATAAAGAGACAGTCTGTCCTGCAAATGCCCCAACAACCTCTTCTGTCCTACTGCAAGCTTCCTAAATGCTTCTGTCCTCTTATGCCATGGAGCTATGTGTAAGGAAGGGGTGAAGACAGCAGGAGATGTCCCTTCAGGGTCTGCTGCTGGAAGTGGGTGGTCTGTCATGGTGTACATCCAGTTAATACTTGCTGAGATTTTTAGTAGGCTTCATGGCTAGGTCTTGTGAGGTCATAGAAACAACCATGTTTGCAGGTGAGTGGTCTCTTCCTACTCTTGTAACTAGTTTTCTGAGAATAACATTTCCTATTTTCAGCCTCATGAAAGACTTTCAAAACACTCTCCTATAAAATAATTTCTTCTGCAGCAAGACTAAGCCCCATTTACTGTAGGCTTGATGAAATGGGTTTGATACCTCTGCAGAAAATTTCCTTTCCCATGCAAAGTAAGAGTTAGTGTTCAGCCATTGACCTCTCCAGGGCCGCTGTTGTGATGCACAACTTGGCCTTAAATGCATGGCAGCTGTATTGGTTCATGTAGTGGATGGGTTTTGGTTAACACCTGGGTGGTGCAGAGGTGTGTCACCTTTCCCCTTTGAAGGAAGAAAGATGACATTTAGCCAAGCTGATTGTGGGATTTTTCCCAAGAAAGCCAAGCCTATTCTTACAAAAGTGTCACTTCCTATTACTCTGAATATTGGCTTTTTTATTGCATTGTTTTAACTGGTTTCATGTTCTATTTACAGAACAATAAGGTGGTGTGTGTAGAGGCAGATCCAGATCTGGTTTAGGGCAGATCTATGGCCTGATAGCCTGTTGTTGGTGTGGATCACAAGAGTTTTCCTGCACAAGTAGTGCCATGGGGCAAAGTGCAGTGAAGCTGTGGAAGATGGGTGTGCAGCTGGCTAGCCTCCCAGTCAGTATCAGATTTGAACTCCTCTCTGTGTTTCGGGTTGAGCCAAAGAGCCCATTGTTGTAGCACAGGCTCTGATGGGTTCACCACACCAGTGCTGACGGAGTTTGCAGGTGCTCTTGTAGGTTTAAATCTTGCAGCTGCAGTTGTCTGAAGTGCTCCTCTGAGCTCTAGCAGAATGCAGTCAGTGTGCTTTCTGAGGGGTGAGCTCCAGACCTGGGAACTGATTCTGGTGATTCTTGCTAAAATTGCATGTGTATTGCTGCTGGATAACCTTCTGTGTCAGGGGACACTTGCCTTGGCTACAGCATGCTCCTGGGAGCTTGTTCCTCTGATTAACCAGCTCTGTCTGTTCCCACAGTGTGAATTAAAATCTATGCTGTTCAAAACAAACCTGATTTGCCAGGCAATAAAGCTCAGGCTCTTTCATTGCTATTCAGGCGTGTTGTCACCTGAGGTTTTCTCAGTAATGACTTAATTTATATAGTTTTCTTTCTCCTTTGGTATCAAGAAAATCTGAATTCAGTAGCTCATATACATAGGGCTAGTGTGTCTATGCCTTCAGATGAGTCAATATAAAACCAAATCTTGCTTGAAGTACACTGAGTCTGCCTACAGAGATCACAGGCAGATACTAATCATTGCCTATTGGAGACATCACCCTATACTCCAATTCTTCAAAACACAAGAGACTTAAAATTCTGTAATATCTGACTCCAATCAGCTAAATATTTTTGGTAGGACCTTCCCCAGATTTTCACTTGGCTGGGAAAATCCTGTTTCTGTTGCAATTGTATTTTGGTACCCTTTGGGATGTATACGGAGGATTTAGCACCAAAAAAATTAAATCGGCGCTTATAAAAGGCAGGTTTTAGAAGTGTTGAGCAATAAAGGGGCCTTGCTGTCTGCTGTGGCACTATTCATATGTATGGTACTATTCATATTAAAACATGCGCCTAAATGCTTTGTCAAGGTAGAGTCTAAATCTGAATACTTCTTTTGATAAACAGATATGCCTTTCCAATTGGGATTCAAATGACGAAGGAACAAAAGATGTCTGAGGGCAATTCCCAGGTCATTTCCTGCAGAAAGCTGCATGCCCTTGTTTGCCATGCATTTTAGAAGAGGCTGAGTCTCCTGATCCTGATGAAGAACGGTTTTGGGGAGCTTAAAGCTAAAAAGGAATGTCTTGCTTTGTTATATCCTCTGTGCAACAGGGAGCAGAGTATTTTGACACATGATTACTGAGCTCAGTAATTTGAATTTCTATTTGTATCTTGTTTTCCTTTGGGTAACCCAAAACCCTAATGTTTTCTAGGCAGTCTGCAGGCCACTCGGGCTTTGATGGTGGCTGCAATACTCCTGGGCCTTGTTGGTCTGTTTGTTGCTGTGACTGGCATGAAATGCATGAAGTGCATGGAAGATGACCAGGTGAAGAAGATGAGGATGGCTGTCTTCGGTGGGGTGATCTTCATCGTCTCAGGTTGGTAACATACAGACCTGTTTGTTTCCTAAATGGTGTTTATCCTGCATAGGATGTGGGAGGGCTTGCTGTCATTGCTCCAAGAGCCTTTTGGGCTGGTAATCCCCTAGCAGACTTTGGCATGGTAGCTGCTGGCTGAGACATCAAATGGGTCTCTTGGCACTAGTATCATACTTCCTGTATGGACTGCATGCTTTCCATCTCTTTTAGTGAAATTTTCACCTGTACAGCCTGTGTCAGTGAAAGGCTCAACAGTCCTGCCTTTGGTGCAATGTAACTGAGAATGACCTCAAATCCTTCCTTAATTTCTCTCCTGATGTCATGACATTGTGTTCCCTTCACATACAGGTTTGGCAGCACTGGTGGCCACGTCGTGGTATGGCAACAGAGTGGCTCGGGCCTTTTATGACCCTTTCACTCCCGTCAACACCAGGTACTGTCCCATTTAATATAAAACTACAGTATAGCATGATGCTATGCTCACTCATTTGCTATGCAAATGCTCACTGGGCTTAATTTTGAATAGCAGTGGCTTAAAACAAACGGAACTTCTTGGTCCAGCTGGGTTGGCCTCAAACTGTGCAGAAAGAGTATTAGGATGAAATCTCAGCATCCATGTGGCTTGTAAGTCTTTGCTTTAAGGCAGCATCAGTGCCAGAGACCTAACTGCTGTGAATTCTGCATCTTTCTTCCACTAAATGCTTATGGCCTGGTTTGCACAGAGCATGGCCCTGCTGCAGCAGGCAGGGTGAGTGAGCAGAATGGACTAACCCAGTGTACAAAGCTCTGGGCTTTGACCATCACCTGAGTCTTGGGCTGCTCCGAACTGCTGCCTTGCAGGAAGCCACTTCCATTCCAGTTTCAGCTCCCTTCTGCTTTCTGTGAACATGCTGATGCTGTAGTACAGAGGCATTACTCCTAGTATTTACTTTCTTCCTTCTTTCTTCCTCAGATTTGAGTTTGGATCAGCTCTCTTCATAGGCTGGGCAGCTGCTTCTCTGGCCATACTGGGGGGAGCCTTCCTCTGCTGCTCCTGTCCGCGGAGAGAAACTTCATATCCACCCACCCGAGGCTATCCAAAAAATGCCCCCTCCACAGGGAAGGATTATGTATAATGAAACAAAGAAGAGAGGCCACCAGCACTGGTAATGGAAGCATTTTGGAGAGGACACTACAATGCCACTGTCCTGAGCAGAGTTCAGACTCTAGGTTCTGCCTTCCTCTTCTCCCAAAAATGTGTATATTTTTGTAATCCTCTTTGCTACTGGACATAACTTCTCCTTTCTCTCCCAGCCCATGGAGGAAGGCTAACCTAGGCTCATAGGTATTGCCACTGGAAAAATGAAGCCTCCAAGCTTGGGTTTAGTATCTGGGAGTAAAAGGGAAAAAATGATACTTTTTTTAGATGGATGTTGGTGCTTTTTTTTAGTTTTTTAAAAAAATAGATGGTAACAATTCAGTCCCATATCCCATTAAGTTAGAGCCCAGTGTGGTGTGTGTAGAAATTAAAGGAACATATATTATATAAAGTGATGAAAACAATATCTTAAGGGGAAACATAATTTTAGGGAAAAGACATGTAGGAATGTTTGGAGAGATCTGAAACAGCTCTTGTACTGTCTTATTGGTGTTATCTTCAGCACCCATCTTTCTGTGCAGATTGGCATGACAAAGGGTCAGAACATTAAATTGCTGTGACTTAACAAACTGAAATCACAACTGTTCATGCAAATGCTGTTGGCCAACCAGATACAGTGTAAGGTGCCTTGGCTTAACTGTGTCATTGCTCTTTTGATGAGATCTTGTAATTTGATTGTCTGGGCTAAAGGCTGCAGAATTGTGGCTACAGAGGTTAGCAGACTTCAAAAGCGGCTGCAGGTTTGGTGCTGGGGAAGAGCTAAAGAAAAGCGATTGCCTCCTGTTTACACTGGGTGTCTCTGGGGCTGTTGCTGCTGTTCCTTAGACACCAAGTGCTGCCTGTGATTGTTTCTCCATGTTCCCACCCTAGTACCTAACTGAGCTTGAAGGTTTATCCTCTTGTGTGTTACAGGCTGCCTTTTAACAGATGCTCTTCTTTCCCTCAGTCTTTCTCATTTGGGCTTATGCAGCTAAATGTGTTAAACCAAACTATGCACTGCTGCTCCCTGATGTTTCCCCAAGGATACCTCACACACTGCCATTTGATCCTGTCTTTTCTTATAAACACTTACAGTGATGATATGAAGGCAAGTTCCAAGGAAACTGACCCAAAGGTTATGGCATTTTCTTTTAATCCAAGCTCACCAAAGAGGAAGAAACTAGCATTTTAAAGATAAAGCCATTCTTGCATATTAAATCACATCTTAAAAAATAGCAGCTCAAAAATGGTTTTCACCCCTTCCTCTGAAACACCCAGTCAGTCACTTGGTGTTTGACTAATACTGGCTGAGGTTGGCTGGAGTTAAGTCTCATAATTCCTAGAAGGTTGGTACCGGTTCTCCAAAGCTCAACCTTGCTTCTACAGAGGGGAGCTGGCTGCTTCTGACCAGGATTTACAATTGTGTATGTGTTCAGAGGCATCAGACTTATTTCCTTCTGTAGACAGGGAGAGCCTCTGGGGCTGAGCTATGTACAACCATGGTGTTGGTGGTTTGTATAAGCCTTGTACCTCTGTTTGACCTGACTCTGCAACATAAATTGAAGTTACTAAAAGAAAACTACTAGAGCATTTGCTTCAGGCTTGAGTTGATGTTGGCCTGTCATTGGAGCTGGGTCATGTGGCTTCCATTTCTCCATGGGGAATTGCCTGTGCACAGCAGCTGCCCCATGAGACCTTGTCTTAGGAGGTGGCAGCTCAGGTCACATTGAAGAGCTGTTGAAGCCTGTGCTTTTGTATTTGCATTAACCCTGATCCAGGGAGCAGATGCTTGTATTGGGAACTTGTATAAAGTGTTTAAACAATTTCAATAAATGGACTTTTTTAAGGAAAATCAGATTGCATTACTTCATTTCTTGTTTTTGAGCAGCACTTGAACTGTGTGCCTGGAAGAGGGGGGCTTGGGCTTTTGTGAGCCTGCCTGCCAGGATGGGGCTTGTTTAGCCATGTGTATCTATAGCAGATGTAGGTGGGGACAGTGAGTCAGGCAGTTGTGGCCTCTGGCAGAAACTCACCCAGTAATCTGCTATGATTGCGGCCCAGGAACCAGAATGTCTGCTCCTGGGCAAGGCAGGCTGCACCCTGGGTGGAGCAGGAAGGGGCAGGGGGGGAGGCAGATGGCTCCCTTGCAGGGGAGTGGGAGCTATAGGAATGGGGAAGGGATGGGGTGTGGAGCGGAGGTGCTCCCAGGGGAGGATGCTCTGTGTTCCAGCAGTGCTTTGCTCTCTAGCTTTATCTGGGTTAGGGAATGTGCAAGCTGCAGCTATCTGATGGAGATGGTCTGCCTCCAGAGCAGGAAGATACCTGCTGCTCTATATATGGCTCAGACTCTTGTGTGTTACTCCTTGGCATTTCTGGGGTTTACAGGATCATGGGATCTGGGAGGATCCATCTCATTCTAAAGCTCCTTTTGGGGAAAGAGAATTGTACTACTTCTATTGGTGACAGTAAGCACAACCAGTCAGGTTCAGGTGTATATTTTTGCAGGCCTGGTAGAGAATGGTTCCAGCTGGGGATGGTCTCTCCTAACCTGTGCTGATGCCTTCCCCAGGGTAAAAAAGCTCTATCCCTTTTCCTTCTGCCTTGTCTGGAAACCTTTTTTCCATTCACCAGGGCTCTTGTCTTCATCCCTTTCATATTTTCAAGTACATCTGATGAGAGGCAAACTGTATTTAAAACACTTTTAAATCAGTCAAGGAGCTGCCTCCTCTGTTTTGTCTCTCTCCAAGGGCTGTTTGCTTTTGTAATTACAAACAAAAGAAATAGAGCTAATTAGGCCTTGTAAAGCTGGCAGAGCAAAACAGCCAGGCATGTGGCTGACTGAGTGAGCTTGCAGTGCCTGGAGCTGACTGGTTGCCTGGCATAGTTTGGGGACTATGGTCATTCTTATTCCAACCTGTCAATTAGTCAAGGATTTCCATTGAGATTAATTTTTTTTCCCATGTTTTCATGCTTGCTCCCTCTCCAAGGAGAAAGAACTTTTGCAAGTTCCACTCTGAAGTTTTGTGGGCAGAACTAAGGTCTTGGGCAGAAGAACAGGGAAGGAAAGCAATCAATCCCACCTCTAAAATGGTTAGTAGGATTTCCCAGCTGCTGGCAAAAATACGCCACTGCAGGAGACACAGATCTGTGTGAGAGACTAGCACAGAGGAAACAGCCAGAGGCTAGCTTGTTTGTTTGCTTATACTTTTAATTTGACCAAATTAAAAATTGACTGTGAATTTTGATAGGGCTTGTGGATTGCCAGCAGGCTGGCTATAAAGCCAAGGGTAAAGTTTGGGAGAAAACATAATTACAATCCTAATTCTAGTCCAGTGGTGACAAGGGGGACCATCTCCTCTCTTACTATTCAGAAAAGGGGCAGGAACTTGGAGGGCCAATGTCCTAAAAGATGACCCTGGCCTGGTTAGGATAACTCCCTTCACCTGGTTTGGGAGGGAGCTTTCCAACTCTTTTCTCCTGCACAATCATGCAATTCCTCTTGGCCATGTTTTCTACATCTCTTTAGCCATGTCTGCTGACAAGGGGGACCATCTCCTCTCTTACTATTCAGAAAAGGGGCAGGAACTTGGAGGGCCAATGTCCTAAAAGATGACCCTGGCCTGGTTAGGATAACTCCCTTCACCTGGTTTGGGAGGGAGCTTTCCAACTCTTTTCTCCTGCACAATCATGCAATTCCTCTTGGCCATGTTTTCTACACCTCTTTAGCCATGTCTGCTCTAGGTTTCATAGAAAAGTGAGGAAAGTTGGGAGAGAGTTTCCCACTGGAT